TTTCTGACATTGTGCCCTGTTTATACCATGTATCTCTCTATCTGTCTGTTATCTATCGATCGATGGATCTGTCGATCTATCATCTATCATTGTTTATCTAAGAACCAGGTACAGACGCCATGACCCTTTATCTTCAGTATGGCAGTGTGCAAATCCTCAGAGCATGGACATCCGCTCTCATAACCACAATACGATATTCACACTCAGGAAATTGAACATTGATACAACACTGTTGTCTACCATACAGGCAATATTTTCATTTCCCCAGTGGTCCCCAAAAGGTCTTTTACAGCCTTTTTTTTTTCTTTTTTTTTTTTTTGAACCAGGATCTGATCAAAGATCATACTTGGCACTTAGCTGTCTTTTTTATTCAGTCTCTTGGATTTCAGAATAGTTCCCTTGCCTTTTGGTCCTTCATGGCATTTGTATTTGAAAACCACAGGCCATTTGTTTGTATAATGTCTGTCAATTTGGATTTGATTGCTTCTTATGATTAATTTCAGGTTCAATGTTTTTGGCAAAAATGCCATGTGGGTGATGTTGTGTCCCCAGTGGGTCCCAACTCGAGGCTCGTGTCATGTGTCCCTTCAGTGATGACATTAACCTTGTTCACGTGGTCAAGGTAATAGACCTAATTTTTCCCCTGCAGAGGAGTCTTTTGCCTCCACAATTAACATCTGCCATTTCTTAACTCAAAGGAAATACCAGCCAGGAGAAGAACCATTGGAGGGTGTTAGCAGGAAAAGACAAGCAGGTAAAGGCACCTGTCTGACAGGCGCAGTCTGCAGGCTTCCAGGTTCTTGCAAGTTTAAGGGTGACTGAATTCAGCGGCGGAAATAGCTCATGGCTCCTTGCTTCCTTGCTATATGTATGCAAAGCAGCGCTCTCACTCAGCAACTGTAGATTTATTGATTGTGTTAACTCTCCACGATTCGGTGGTTCAGGCAGGCTGCTGGGTGCGGCAAATCTTCCTCTGTGGTTGCATTAGTTTTCCAACTGTGTAGCTACAAAGACCGGCGGTGGCCAGCCTCCCCTCCTCTACATCGCCTTTCCAAGGGCGGCAGTGCAGATATGTGCCACTGTGTTCCAGGCCACCATTTCTCTCACCTGACCATTACAATAGTCCCCGAATGGTCCCTCCAACATCTACCTAGCTCGCTTCCTTACCCCATTCCATTCTCCTTAAAGCAGCCTCCTGTGCATCTTACAAAATTCAAATCCAATCACTAACCCTCTCCTTCTTGAAACTTTTCCTATTGTTCTTTGGATAAAAATCCCTAGTCTATTATCTAACTTGGATGATCTGGTTCTTATCTTTCTTTTGGACCTCATTTTCTTCCACTCTTGCCTGTCATTAGTCTCTGAATCCCGGCCACGATGGCTTTCTTTCTGTTTGATAAAAATGCTTCTGCCTCAGAGCATTTGCGTATGCGTCACCATTCTTGTACCTGAAACATTCTTCCTTTGTTCTCCTACTGAGGTAACTACTAGGGTTGTAGGGTCATTAAAGATAGATCTAATTTTGGGTATGGCTACACCCAGAAGCTCCAAAAAAGTTACTAAAGATTTATCTCTTGAGTCAGCATTGGCTTTTCTAGGCAAACATTGACTTTCTTTCACAGTGGCAAGATGGCTGCCAATACATTTCCAGACTCAACTCCTACCCCCTCAGCAAGCTCTTAAGAAGAGAGATTACCGGGCACCTGGGTGGCTCAGTGGTTTAAGCCGCTGCCTTCGGCTCAGGTCATGATCTCAGGGTCCTGGGATCGAGTTCCGCATCGGGCTCTCTGCTCAGCAGGGAGCCTGCTTCCCTCTCTCTCTCTGCCTGCCTCTCTGTCTACTTGTGATCTCTCTGTGTCAAATAAATAAATAAAATCTTTAAAAAAAAAAAAGAAGAGAGATTTCCTCTCCTCTAACAGTTCTTACAAAAAAGATGGCGTTGGTTTTAATTAGATTACCACTGGTCGCATGCCCATTGTTGAGCCAATTATTATGGCCAGGAGGAGGCCAATGAATACGCTCATTGGTCTGGCTTGCGTCATGTGACTGCTCTTTGGAAGGGGATGTGTCTTGACCTTTCCCAAGCCTTTTGGATGAGAGTTGGGGAGGCGCAGTCCCAAAAGGAAGCAGAGTCCTGTTATCAGAAGAAAAGGAGCGGGTGTTGGGTGGCAAAATAAAAGTTGCTAATTACTGAGGTTGCAAGGATTTTTTTTTAAAGATTTATTTATTTATTTATTTGAGAGACACAGTACGAGTGAGCAGAGGAAGGGGCAGAGGGAGAAGGAGACTCCTCACCCAGTGGAGAGCCCGAGTCGGGGCTTGATCCCAGGATCTTGAGATCATGACCCCAGCCAAAGTCAGACACTTAACCCACTGAGTCACCCAGACACTCCTAGGTTATAAGGACTTAAGAATATAATGCTTGTAGTACACTGAACCCATTTTTTTTTTCTGGACAGTAATAGGCATTGTATAAATAAGCCAAAGAAAATAACAACATGAGGGGCACCTGGGTGGCTCAGTGGGTTAAAGCCTCTGCCTTCAGCTCGGGTCTTAATCCCAGGGTCCTGGGATCAAGCCCTGCATCAGGCTCTCTGCTCAGCAGGGAGCCTGCTTCCCCCTCTCTCTCTGCCTGCCTCTCTGCCTACTTGTGATCTCTGCCTGTCATATAAATAAATAAAATCTAGAAAAAAAAAAAGAAAATAACATTAGAGTCAGCAAGATTTGGTGTGATACTTGGATGTGTGTGATGAAGGAGATAAAGAGCTTAGGGGGCTCAAGTTCAGAGTCTGGGTAACTGAGCTGGCTCACTTCGGCCTAAGGATGAGGTTGGGGAGGGCCTAGTGAGAGGAAGGAGCAGGTTTGTCCCGTTAGACTGCGTGTGTGCGTGCATGCATGTGTGCGTGTATGTCTGCACATGAGTGCACGTGTGTGAGTTAATGCGTGCATGTGGACGCATGTGTGGATACATGCATGTGTGCAGGTGGGTGCATGTGTGCATGTGAGTGCATGTGTGAGTGTGGGTGTGCACATGAGTGCACACGTGTGAGTGCATGTGTGCATGTGGACGCACGTGTGGGTACATGTATGTGTGCACACATGTGGGTGCATGTGTGCATGTGAGAGTGTGGGTGTGCACATGAGTACCTATGCACGAGTGCATGTGTGTGTATGCATGTGCTATGCATGTGTGCACGTGTGCGCATGCGTGTGCACACACGAGTGCATGTGTACATGTGTGTGCACGTGCACGTGTGTGAGAGTGCACATGTGCATGTGTGCTGTGCATGCATGTGTGTAGGAGGCGCCGATGGCAGCTGCTCAGAGACCATTAGCTTTTCAGTTCCCTGTTTCTTCAGGTGAGGAACCCAGACCCTGAAGGAGGGAAAGTAAGTGGTGCACCCTCTCACAGCGACAACCGCTATCTCCTGATTTCACTCCCCCCAGCCTGGCGTTCTAATTTTTTTTATTTGTTACTTTTTCTTTGTCTGGGGGAATGCACATCTGACTGAGTTTTGAACACCTAAGGAGAATATCACAGGCAATTTTAACGACAAAGAAAATCGAGTTTCCCGAGGCTAAGAGCAACACTGATTGCAATATACCCGCGTTCATAATCCCTGGGAGGTTGCTGAAGTCTTTCCTTCTATGGCTCTTTTTCATAAAGGCAGTTTGGCGAAGATGAAAATATTCGAGCCTCCTGCAAATCATTTTGTATAACGGACATTGAGTACTTCCCACATTTTTATGGAATTTTTACAGAAGCCTTTCTTTACACATCAGGGACTGAGGTTCTCGGGTATTCATGTTGGAAATAGATTCCCGGAGTCTCTGGGTCCAGAGCCTCTCTGGCTGGGCTGTATTTCTATGGTCTCAGCCTTTCCATAGTAACGTTATTGGCCACAAAGTGAGGGGGAGGGTGGGTCAAGGGAGAGGAGGTTGGGAAATGAGAGAGAGAGAGTTTCTTCTTTTGGGGGGTCAAGAGCGGGTCCTAGAGTTTCTTGGGCTCTCTATTTATTGCAGAACTTAAAATGCGAGAGTGGGAATTGAAGTGCAGGAAGAGGGGAAAAAAAGAAAAAGTGGCCCAAATGGGCAATTATGAAAATCAACCCCAATTTCTAAAACAGAGGTGCCTCCGTGGGGGAAGGTGGCAGTCTGGCTCTTTATTTAGTCGGGGTGGCTGGCAATCAATGTGTTCATTCAAGACAGCCCTGGATGCTTCTGGGAAGGATGTCTCTGGACGCAGACATCTCTGCGATGCAAGCTTAAGTCAGACACTTGTGTGACACCAAGAACAGCCAGCTGTTGCGGCTTACACTCCAATATTAATTTGCCTGTGCCCTTGGACGGGTCTCTTCCATCTCCTGGACCTGTTTGCCCCTGTCACTGGAGTGGGGAACTAGAGTGGTCGGCAGTATAGAGTACAAAGCACGATTGTGGTTGATACAAGGACAGAGCTTTAAATCACTGGGCGAAAGCAGCCTGCCTCGTTCAGATGTCATTCATTCTCCGATTACCCCAGAAAGAAAACTTCAGCTTGGTGCCAATGTGGCTTTAATGCCTGGTATTTTGCTAATTTCTCCCTCTAACAAAGAAAATTGGATATGATTTCTTTTTAAATTTTGAATTTGCATTTTCCCTCTACCTTCTCTCTATGTAGCTGGTGAGAACTAGTTTTCCATTTCCAGCAAAAACAACCTCCGCTCGCAGTAGTGCGTGTTCTGGGCACTTTTGTAAAGGTTTTACAGTCATAACTCCTTTCACTTTCTTAAGATGTAAGATCCTGTTATTATTTCCACTTTATAGAGGAGAAAACCAAATCACAGAGAGGTGAAAGCACTTGTCCAAGGTCACACAGCTAGTGGGTACCAGAGACAGGATTTGAATCCAGAAAGCCTGCTTCCAGAGTCTGCCTCAATGGTTCTCCTTTGCTGAGGCATGAAATAATGTTTTCTTTGAAAACATATTCAAGAGAAAGGCGGGGGTGCTGGATAAGTGTCAGTGTAAAGGAAAACATTTGATAAATAATAAAGCATGCACAATGATGAGGATATGGCGACACGGTGACCATGGTTTTGAGTCACAGAAGCCTGGGAAACGTTGGGTACTGTAGAAATCTGGAATTCTGCACATGAGGAAAATGCCTGCATTAGACATGGAAAGAAGCCAGATGGGGGCTCATAAGTATATTCTAAGCCACAGCTCTGGTAGCTTCCAGAATTGCTTGTCTAAGATGAGAAATGGCTTCCTCTGACGGCCATGGAGCTGGGCGACTCCCTTGAAGGGTGCCGGGCGTGTCGGACTCCTTCCGTCTGACCTTGCTGGAGGCTGAGGTCTGGGTGCCGCTGCCTCTTGAAGGCGGTTTTCATGTACTGTCCGTGGCATGAGTGTGGGGCGTGCCGGCTGACCTTCGGCCAAAGTAATTAATGGGCATTTTGCTCGGCACAGTCACCTCATGTCCCCTTGGGCAGCGCAGACGAGACAGAGGAGTCTTCACGCAGCAGCGCAGACGGCTGTGGGCAGCTCACCTCACCTCGCACGTCATCCCACCTCCCTCTGCTTTGCCAACACATCCTGCCTCCCAGCCTCACCGGGACTCCTACCCCAGGCAACCCTGACCCCTACTCTCTGGCTTACCTTACCCTTAACTCATAATCTCACCTTAACACAGTCCTTATGTGATCCCCTACTTCCCCCCCTTTTCCGCTCACTCATCCACTCACAGACCCCCGCCCCTTTATTAGGGCATACCAGACAATTAAAAATGGTCCACATTTAAGGTGTACACTGTGATGATTTGGCATAGGTAGATACAGTGAAATGATGGTCTAGTAACCAGTAATTAGCACACCGGTCACCTCACACGTGACCATTTCCAGCTACCCATTTATTCATTTACTCATTCATTTATTCCCCACCCCCCCCATACTTATTGAGCATCTGTCGTGTCAGCTAGGGTTCCCGCAGGAGAGACAAGGAACACGCCCCCTGGGCAGCTGGGGAGAGTTGAGTAGAAAGACTTGTTAATGAATGGCACTGACCGGCTAACATAGCAGGGAGCCGTTACCACCGCTGGGGCCAAGGGAGGGAAGGGAGTTGGGGGTACCCAGCGGTGAGGGGCCACCAGTAGGAGCACCTGATAGGTCAGGAGGTATGCGACAGTTGTCGGAGCAGGGAGGTGTCAGAAGGAAACGCCCCAGCTTCTTCCCCTCCTGCTTTCCTGGCTCCTCCTGGACCACTCCGTATTGCCTCCACAACATGGAGCTCAGATGGCCCCAGAGGCCATGCATCGGCACATAGCCGCTGTCACAGTAAAGAGAAAAGTGAAATGTATATTTTACTTAAGTCTCCTTCAAAAGAGGAAGAACAAAAGTTGAGAGGTCTTGGTCTTAGAAGCAGATAAAGAATAAACATTTTTCTCTGTGGAAATAATGGTTTTCCTAGAGGCTTAGTGGGGCTGGGACAAAAGAATGCAATCTAAGACATCATTAGGAGGCAAACCCACCTGATTCTGCTGTATATTATGTCTGGCTTCTGTAAGGCGGAACTCACTGTAATCGCTATAACTTGCTCTCATGGAGGCTCAGAGAGGGCAAGAGGTTTGCTCAAGGACACACAGCTTGTTTGTTAGTACAGAGCTGGGGCTGGAGCTCAGGCCTCCTGCTTCCTCGCTGTACACTTGTTCCATTTTATCATCATCTGTGAAACTGTCTTCAGTTGCTCCCTCTCTCTGGGGACAAGTCCGAGTCCTCACAGTCCCTGGAAGAAAGTGCGGTGTTGTTTTTTAATCTCGCTGGCTGCATTTCATTTTTTCCAAGTGTTAATGGCACTTCCCATCATGCAATACTACAAACAAATGCTGGGTTGTCTTCTCGGCCCTTTGCCATGTCGGAGAGTTCAAAACATGATGGTTTCGTCATCTGCCCCTAAATGCAAATTTTCATTCCAGCAGCCTCTGCCACGAGCTGGTTGGTCAGATCTGAACCCGCCATTCCCCCTCCCTCCTTTGGCTCCAAGTCACAACTTTCCCATTTATCGGGGGTGATGTCATATATTTGGGCTCCCAGGTAGTCAACCCTTGGGTTGGTAAGTCTCTGAATCTTCTCTCTGTCCAACTTCTTTGGCTTTTCAGTTCTTGCTGAGCAGCATAGACTAGTGGTTTAAAAATAGTGCAAGGGGTGGGGAATGTTGGCATCAGACAGACCTGGGTTCAGATCCTGTTTCTGCTACTTTTCCATCTGTGAGATGCAGGACCACCTTCAGAGGCTCGTCAAGCCTCAGTTTCATGTGTCATCCCGATCTCCCTTCCACAGAGGGCACGTTGCCGACAGACTCTTTGTTCTCCCCTTCGGGGATCTCTCAGCAGGAGAGCCGCCTTGGCTTCTGCCCCTTTCCAGGCCAGCCTACAGCTCAGGCCCCATCAAGGAGGAGCATGAAGGCCCGGCCATCTGGACCCACTGGGGACATCACTGCGTTAGTACCGCAACTCCCTGTGGGGTAGGCGGAGGGCGTAGTTGGACCTGTATCCCGCTCTGCTTCCTCTCTGCCCACTCCTGCTTCCTTCCCCAACCTTGCACAGGGATCCATCCCAAGGGTCCTCCTTAGTAAGAACTGATATGCTAAACTGTAGCATATCAGAGTAGGTTTTCTGGGACAGCGGATGGTCGTCACACCCATTCCCAACTAACTCACCCTGGGACTTTGGCCATGTCTCTCCCCTCCTATCTGTGAAATGGGAAAAATGCCTACTTTTTTTTAAAGATTTTATTTATTCAGGGGTGCCTGGGTGGCTCAGTGGGTTAAAGCCTCTGCCTTTGGCTCAGGTCATGATCCCAGGGTCCTGGGATCGAGCCCCGCATCAGGCTATCTGCTCAGCAGGGAGCCTGCTTCCTCCTCGCTCTCTGCCTGCCTCTCTGCCTACTTTGTCTGTGAAATAAGTAAATAAAATCTTTTAAAAAAGATGTTATTTATTCAAGCAACAATGAGAGAGAGAGAGCCCGAGCCCAGGGAGGGAGGGGCAGAGGGAGAGGGAGAAGCAAGCTCCCTGTTGAGCAGGCAGCCTCATGGCTGGGCTCCATCTCAGGACCATGGGATCATGACCTGAGCCAAAGGCAGATGCTTAAGCGAGTGAACCACCCAGGTGCCCCGATAATGCCTACCTTTCACCATGGTTGGGAGGATCACATGCAATCATAGATATGAAGGGCCTGGAGCGCAGAGTCTTCTTCTTGGGCTAGTGACTGCTCCTCTTTGGGCCTCAATTTCACAGTCTGTCAAAGGAAGGGGTGGGGTTAGATCAGTGGTTTCCACGGCTGGCTGCATATCGGGCTCACTGAGGTAGCTTGTTCAGGTCCAAAGCCACGGGAGTGGCGCCAGCACCGAACAGAGAATCAATCAGATCTTGAATAAATGAATGAATGAGTACTTCTGTAAAACTTAGGGCCTTTGAAAACACTTCATTCTTTATAAAAAATTTTATTTATTTATTATTTGAGGGAGAGAGAGTGCGAGAAGGGGAAGAAGGAGACAGAGAAGCAGCCTGCCCGCTGAGCAGGGAACACGACACATGACACACGGGGCTCGATCCCAGGACCCTGGGATCATGACCTGAGCCGAAGGCAGACACTTGACGACTGAGCCACCCAGGCGCCCAGAACATTCTCACTCTTTTTTTTTTTTTTTAAAGATTTTTTTATTTATTCATTTGACAGAGATCACAAGTAGGCAGAGAGGCAGGCAGAGAGAGAAGGGGAAGCAGGCTCCTTGCTGAGCAGAGAGCCCGATGTGGGGCTCGATCCCAGGACCCTGGGATCATGACCTGAGCCGAAGGCAGAGGCTTTAACCCACTGAGACACCCAGGCGCCCCAACATTCTCACTCTTATTTACAAACATGAATCTGCCCTCTGACTGAAGAAAAGGTTCATCAGATTTCGGATGGAACTTGCATTAATGAAGTGATCGTCAGGGACCTGGGAGTGTGGCCTGCAGAAGGGGTCCTGGATTCTGAATCAGTCTGAAGACCTGCGTTGTACCCTCTGCTCATGTCCACATGGGTGAGCCTGCGTCTCATGTGTCTATCTGCAAAATGAGAATAACTGATATCTGCCTGGCAGGTCTCATAGTTTTCTTTCTTGGGTCAGGAGAATTGCATAAATTACTTGGAAACATGGATTATTAATAAACTAGTTAATTCATTATTTACTTCCTATTTGCTATGTACCAGGCATGGTGCAAAGTGCCGGAAATTTGGCCATGAACAAGAAAGACACAGTCCCTGCCTTGTAAGAGTTTATAAGTTAGTGGTGGTGGTGGGATAAGCAAAAAAATAACTAACGACACAAATAAGTATATAATTGTATTTTGTGAAAAGAAAAATGGCAGAGGCTGGGAAAAGGAGGTGTGTGTTTGTGTCTAGCAGTGAATATTTAGAGAATATTTAAGGGGTATTCGGTTGGAGCTCAGGAAGGGGGCCTGTCTGAGGATAAAACCTGGAGCCAGAGAAAGAAGCAGCCAATCAGAAAGCAGGGAAAAGAGCATTTCGCAGAGGAAGTAGCGCAGACAAAGGTCCTGGGGCAGGAAGGAATTGTGTATATTGTAGGAGTTAGAGGTATGACTGCAGGCAGTGAAGGAGGAAACCAACTAGCCTAGGAAGACTCTGGGGAATAGAGAGGGGTCCAGTCATGATGGGGACGTAGGCCTCAGCATGATGTGTGGACAGCCACTACAAGGCTTTAAGCAGGTGAACATCTCAATCCCACTCCCTTAAAAGAAAACATGGCAAAGGAATGGAGTTGTTACTAGTGGCATCAGCATCCACGGTAATAATAACGGATGTAGGTCTCCATTGTAGCAAACATTCTGTTCTTTCCCCCCATTTACGCTGAAAGCTAATTCCCCCACCCCCCACCAAGTTATCTCATCTTTACAAGATACCCTTGATGGGACAGAATTCCATCCTTCCCAGTCTTCCAGGAATTTCTGGAACTGCTGTTATAAGTAATCTTAATCTACAGTCAGAACATTCAAGGGGTTCATTTCCTCTGATTTTTGAGGGGAATGACTCAGACTTTTGCATATTTTAAGCAAGAGAGGGATGCACTGGCAAACAATGTACAAGGACCCATCCCAGTGAGGACCATTCCCCTCTGGTCACTCTGCTCTGTGTCAGGTTCTCTCTCCCCCCACCTCCCGCCTCCCCACGTGGTGGTCTGCCACCAGCCAGCCCGCAGCCAGTTCAGCCTGATGTTTGCATAATTTGAATAATAATTTTGCATAATAGAGGCTCTCATTTAAATGATGTAAATTTCCTCAGTCCTCTCTCCAGATTAGTATTCATCCATTCAGCGAGATCACTTTTAGGGGATGAGACAGAAATATTTACAAAAGAGAATGGAGTGTGGAGGATTTGAAGATGTTCTAGGGAAAATAAGAAATTTTTTGTTGTTTTGTTTGATACATTTGAGGGTGGAGGTCAGAGCTGAAGGCACAACCTTTTTATGCAACTCAGCGGATTTTCATGCACAATTTCCCTGAGTCAGTTGGGGTGGGGAAGAGGGCATGGAGGATGGGTTCTAAGAGTTAGGTCCAAGGGGAGGGGGGGAGGAGGACATCGGGAGGCAGGGGGTCCAACTTGGTGTCTGGATTCTGCTTGGGAGATGTGCCGGAGGGTGCCCTGCTCCCCTCTCCTTCCTTCCTCTGTAAATCTTCCATATCCTCTGTGGATGCAGGCCTGGTGTATATTATATTTTTCACCTTGTCTCATGGGAGGGACAGTGGACTTGGGGCTGGGCAGACCTGTGTATCTGTCAGGGTTCTTTGGTTGTAAGCAACAGAAACAGCTCAGCCCCGTTAAGTCAAGGGCCTCCCCAGAAGGCTCAGCATGTGGGGAGGGGGCATCCAATCAGCCCCACCTGGTTCATGCCCCCTTCTTGGCTTGGGGTGATGGGGGTAGTGACTGTTGTGCTGGGCTGTGGGCTGATGTTGCCAGGGGCTCTGGGTTTTGAAGAGTAGCCAATCATCCAGATTTTGCAAATATGAAATTTTAAGGTTTAAACACATGGGCAGCTAATTAAAAAAAAAAAGATTTTAGAGCACACTGAAGGTCTAATGAACACTATTCACAAACAAACTAGATTTGACCCCAAGGCTGCTCTGAATAGGAACGAATTTGAGACTTCTGTGAATTTGAGACTTCTGTGTCCATTCCAAATTCCACAGGGGGAGCCTCTGACCTAGTTGGACTTGGTTGTCCCTCCCTGGTCCAATCAGTCACGGCTGGGAAAGGTCACAGCCCAGTGGCCCACTCAGCTAGGGACAGGCTTGGTTGGTCCGGGAGCCATGCAAGTCCCCTTGAGGGCAGTAGTGACCTACAGATCTGTTGCAAGCATGGACTCTGGGGTGAGGCACCTCTCGGGTTCCCACCGTGGCTGTGACACATGGCCGCACACTTCTTCATTGTCTCATAGTGCTGGGGGTCAGATGTCCAAATAAGCCAACATGAAGGTGTCAGGAGGGCACGTTCCTCTCTGGAGCTCTTGGGGAGAATCCATGTCCTTGCGTTTTCTAGCTTCCTGGAGGACAACTGCATTCCTTGGCTTGTGGTAACTTCCTCCATTTGCCAAAAACAGCAACAGCCACCTGAGTCTCACGTTGCACCTGCTGATCTACTTCCTTCTTCCATATGTCAAGGACCCTATGATGACTTTGGGCCCACCCAGATGGTCCAGGAAAATCTCATTTGAAGGTCAGCTGCTTAGTACCCTTCATTCCATCTGCTACTTGAATTCCCTCTTGTCATGGAAGAGAGCTTATTTCCAGGTTCTAGGGATCAGGACGACGATGACATCTTGCTGGGAGGAGGGGGGCGCATTTTTCTGCCTACCTCAAGGAGGTCTCTGAGCTTTGCTGGTCCTCTGCAAAATGTGGGGAGAACCATGCCTTCTTCACGGTTGTTAAAGGGTTCAGGTGGGAGCCTGTGCAGTATACCAGGCCCAGTCCCTGGCACATAGTAGGCACCCCCATTAGTCCCTTTCCCTCCTTTCTTTGAGCTATTTGCTTCAATGTGGGTGGAACCTCGGTTTACTCAAATGGCAAAGATATACCAGTTCTCCTACTTCAAGGGTTGTTTCCTCATTCATTGATTTCTTGATTCCTTGATTCATTCATTCACTCATTCAATATTTAATGAGGACCTACTATGTGCCAGACACTGAGCTAGGTGCTGGGGCCAAGCAACAAACACCAAAGACAAGAGGTTTTTTTCCAGGTGGCAGAGGAAATAGTAAATATGAAAATAGATTAATAATCACAATTGTCTGTAGTAATAGATAAAGGAACAAACAAGGATGAAGGTCATGGTTGTGGGGCTGTGAGGTGCTATTTTATTTATTTATTTTTAAAGATTTTATTTATTTATTTGACAGACAGAGATCACAAGTAGGCAGGGAGGCAGGCAGAGAGAGAGAGGGGGAAGCAGGCTCCCCGCCGAACAGAGAGCCCGATGCGGGGCTAGATCCCAGGACCCTGGGACCATGACCCGAGCCGAAGGCAGAGGCTTTAACCCACTGAGCCACCCAGGCACCCCAAGGGACGCTATTTTAAATAGAGAGGTCAGGAAAAGCATGCCTGAGTGACATGTGAAATGACCGAGAGTGGTTGTTGATTGACTTAATGATGTTAACGCTGATTTCCAGCTTGATTATGGCACAAATGGGTAATCTGATTGTTGGAAATCAGTATGAATTACATAAGACTTCTTCCACAAACATTTGAAGGGTTTCTGGCTTCTTTTTTTGTGTTGAATTTTATCATTTTTAGAAGAAGTGACCCAAAAGGCATATTCATCCATCCTTTTGGAAAAGGCTGGACAATTCTTCTGAATTAGCTCATATTCCCCCCCTGGGGGGCTCTGAAGGTAGCAGACAGACAGACCCTGCCAGCGCTGTCCTCGGCTCTGTCTGTGACCTCCCCGCAATGCTCAGCTGCTGGAAGCCTCAGCGGTCTCATTAATGTCGGAAAAGCACTTTGGGTTCCCAGCTGAAAGATACCAGGAAAGGCAGGGCATAATTATTTTGTTTTTCCCATATCTTCAGTGTGCAGAAAGGCCATCAGAGGCAGCCTGAACCTTCTCCATCGAGAACGAGAGGCTGCAGCTAATGGAGGGAGGAGAAGAGACGGGCAGAGGCAGACAGGGGAGAAGAGA